ACATTTGTGATGACTAACTCACAGACACGTTTTCATATGGATATCTCTATTCTCACTTCAGATAAAAGTGGCCTTACTCATGTGTTTTTTCAGAAAAAAAATCTGTCATTGTCAGTCTGTTAGGTCATGTTCTCTTGGTGTTGTTGATCTTAAAAAAGTGAATTAGTGAAGAATGCCTGTCACAAGAGTGACATCTTCAAATAGCTACTCTTGTTCAACCACTGGTCAAAACCCATATATATCGAATTGCAAATCCTCACATTTGAGAAGATAGTATCAGAGTATTTTTCGTTTTTGCCAGATTAATTACTTAATCAGTTAATCAGTTTTCCGGAAAATTATTTATTGTATTATTTAGTGTATTATGAATTATTGTAAATATTTGAAACCAATTTATATGAATATATTTTCTGTAAAAGAGGTTGAAAAAAGGATGTTTTTATTTGTTAATTTACATTAATTTAAATGAAGAATGGTCCATCATTTATTAGTACTGTATATCCCTAGCATGCAGTTTTGTTGTTAACTGACTGAGCAGTGTCCTGCTCCTAGTAGCAGGTTTACTGGATTCTCTTGTCAACTGAGTAAAACTCAGGAAACCTAGGAAGAGGAAAACAAAAATCTCAGAAGTCTCACAAATCTGGAAAATTGAAGATCTCCTGTGGTTTTTACTCTGCAAACTTATTCAGACAACTCAAAAACACCAGGAGAGAGCAATTTTATTTCTATGTGGTTACTGAAGTCAGTTTTGATAGTAAATATATTCTAAATGGATAAATGCTCCCCAGATAGAGTTTGTATATAAGTCACATGAAATTGCCAGCTGTAAATGGGGTCTTCGATTGTCTTATGGCCTCTTTTCCCTACTTCTTTGCTCTATTTGAAAAGGGCATACTCACAGTGCAAGCATAAAGATTAATTGGATAGATTCTATCAAGAAGTATAGATGTTACTTATGCTTTCATAAATCTTTTGCAGCGGTTTAGGCTATGTTGTGTACTACCTCTCTGAGTTTACAAAGACGGCCATTGAGAAGACTGTGTAACAAGATTAATTTAGACAAATTAATTTGTTTAGACTATGTCTAATTCAGTTACTGGTATGGTGGTTCCTTTCTGATGCAACTTCATGCCCCAAAATTGAGCATGATATTGGCAATGCTGTACATCCTATCTGATTACACAAGACAAATTATGTAATTTTGATGTTTATGGCTATGACTAGCAAACATGAGTCTCAAATGTAACTAGAAGAAAGTATTGGTATGGCCTAAAGGCCAGTCAGTTACAGGTTTGTCTTGCACAGTAGGATTTTGGTGGTGCTTAGTTGTTCTTCAGTGTAAACGGGTTATTGGTTTCCTTCTTGAAGTAATACATCAAATATTTTTAGAAAAAGGTTTAATAATTAAAACCTGTTTTCAAATCTGTTATATGCATTTAATGGGACTTTGGACACATGGCTCCACACCATTATCTAGTAGGAGCTCTAGTGCACCCTATTGAAATGTTGAGGAGCAACACCCCAAATTTAGTCATTCAGAAAAGGTGTGTCTTAAATGGTGCATCTTAAATGTGTTTCTGGTCTGTGATTTCATAATGGGCATAGACACCTATCAGCTGTCACTCTTACAGTCTTTGTACATGTACCATCATTCACTTGTGGTCATTTTTTCATTTTAAATATATTCAACCCATGCTGTGAATTTTGTCAATGACAATTATTCCTTGCCATTATGGTAGGCTGTATTGTGATTTATCACCACTTCTTTTTGTTCTGCTGACAGATAAATATCTGGTTTGGAAAATATAGTTTTTGGAGTTTAAGGTGTGTTGCGATTAGTGCATTTGTCACTGCATTTTTTATTGCTTCGTACAGTTACTGCCCTTAAGGGTGCATTCATATTTAAAAGCTGTGGTGAATTGGCTAACCAGGTTTTCCATGCAGCTGTTTGGACAAAACAATGTTGTGAGCTTTATCTCCATGTAATGTACTCCTTCACTAATTGCACACAAATAATAGGAGATACTTGAGTAACTAATAATTTTGCACAAGAAATGAAAGAACATAAGTGCACTCTGCAATCTGTAAATGTCGGAGTCACAATCTGAATCATCCAGACCATTGTGCTGATGTAAGGTTTTTAGTTGTTTTTTAGGTCATCACTCCTCACTTAGACCACAAAGTTCCTGTGTAATCAGTTTCATATTCACATTGCACATTAAGCATCAACACAGTTTCTCGCTAGGACAGAAATGAAGATCAGTGACACCCACATGTATGTAAAGGCAGAGTGCACTGTTAATCAACAGACTATATATAGTTTAAGTGTCAACATTATTATTATTATTATATTGACACGTGCTTGTCCATCTATACTCCACTATACTGGAGAATTAATTAATAATGGATGGATCTGATACAATACTTTCATTTTCGGTAAAGACATCTTGGCCCTTCATTTTACTAGTAATGAAAATGAATGAACATTTTAAGAGAATACAGATTTTCCACTATGAAAACCCAGCTTGACTGCTGAGCCACTGAAGTGTACATACCAGTGCAATAGGCGTATTATAAAATCTGTACATTTTTCCTAAATTTCTCACAGCTCTTCTGTTAGCATTTGGAATTGTCTTCCCCCAGGAAACATGACTTTATTTGCAACACTGATAAACAGGTGTGAGTGTTTCTAACCCTTACTATCCTGTAGCTGAACTGAGCAGTTGATTAAACGGGGACACAGGATAGTTACATGAAGTTGCCAAGAACTGTCAGCAGAGCATTGCATTACAGTCCTCAGCCAACAATGGCTGGCTCCCAGTAATCCCTTGTTATTATTAGAACTAATTAAAGTAAAACCTAATTTCCTTTTAAACCCATTTTACAAAGGCATCGTGGCTACTGATTTTATAGTGATAGTTCCAGTGAGTGAGTTAAAATGACATCATACAGATGGTCTAGTTAAATTGGTTGGGTATAACAGGCGTTGCTATTTAAAAGCTGTGCAATGGTAGCCAATATGAACCAAAGTTGGTTCTTTGTCCATCTTCATTGAAAATTAATTTCATGTGCCACCTGGTTGTATTTTGTAATAAAACGTAACCTAAAAAAAAAACATTGCAAGAATAAGTCTCTACACAAGTTAATGTAATATTAACATTAATTGTACTCTGTCATAATAATTTTAGTTATTGTGTGAAATATGCGTACTGGTATGGTTTTGTGTCCCCAAATTGACTCTCAAGTTGCGGAATATTGCTTTGTGTTTTCATTTTTAAGGATCTGCATGGAGTCATAATCATATTTGATTAAGGAGGGACCCAGAGCTAATTTGATTAGGTTATTTAGAGGAATATGTGTCTGGTAATAAACATTTATTATGATGAAAAAGTTTACTTTAATAAGCGGGAGAAGCCCAGAGGACATACAAGCTTAATTGTTAGATGTTAAATTGCGTTGTTGCGATGTTGCCAAGATAATGGGCAAGGAAAGGCCCTCAAGTCAAGGCAATTAACCAAACAGTGGTTTGATTGTTGTTAAATTGATTAGAAAATGTTTAAGTACTCCATTTGAAAATTAGCTATTGTTTCACGCAGTTTTAGACTGCTAGAGAATGCTGGGCTTAATGACACATACGCTCTGAGATAGAAATGGGAAAAGTTGATGCTTAGGTCAAGTTCTTAGCTTTCCAGATGTTGCGTGAAGTGGAGCAGCTGTATTGAAGGCCACAAATGATGGTCATACAAATACCTGGACATCCCAGGCAAAACGCTCAGTGCACAATACCTGATGAAGATGTCATATTGTATTTGAAATAACAGCTTGGACAACACTCAGCCTACACATATAGACTGAAGCTTTGTTTTCTGTGGTTCATTGCTTTATCACCCAACTGTTGATCAGTTGTTGCAGACAAAACTAGTGATATATATGGCAGTTTAAGTGTCGGCTCAGTGTTGCCCAGAGCGACAGCTGATGAAGATGCACAGAGGGAGGTGCAGGTTAGAGCCAATCTGTTTGCTTGCCCCAGCATCAGTAGTTTCCTGATTAGAATAGTGCAGAAATCCACGGCTGGAGGCAGGCTTTATGGCCATCACCACCCCACATCTCCCTACTCATTAGTACTTCACAGCCTAGCACCATAGCATATGGCAGTGTTGCAACTGCGTCCCATTTGAGGTGTGTTTCAAATGGCTGTCCCTCGCTGAGCCACAAGCCTTGTTTGTCTTATTGTGTCTGAGATGAAGATAAACATCTGTAGTAAAGAGTTGTGGTTTTAATTATTTTTTTTTTATTTCGAGCCATTTGTAACATTTTGTGAGCGGATATTGAAAAGTTCGGGATGGAGTTTACAATAACAGGGAACAAGAAGGATTTGGTTGGGCCACTGTCACTGCAAGAGATGCTCTTTAGAACACATATCACAGAGATAAAATAAAGTGTATTATATTTAGGATACACAAAACCTTAACCAAGTAGTACTAAATTGCAGTTTTTCAGTGGGTGTTATGAACAGGTGTGCTCTTATGTCTGTCTTTATGTCTGTGGATGTGGGGTTAGAGGTGCTTTATGATTTGTTTCATTTAATGTAAAATGTTTGTGTATGTGTCTTAAAGTGTGTGTGCTTGGGGTCTTAACTCTTGAACACACACTTGCGCTTACATACATTAAAACCCTATTATTGGGAACATCAAGTATTGTCACATCCTGCACATGTACAGTATCTGGGATATGCTCATATCCTCATTGAAAAAAAACTAATAATGAGAGTGTGCTAATGCTGGTTGTGGACCTAAGACATTTAGCACAAATCCCTTATGTCACTGCTAAGTGTATTTGGTATTTGAAACTTAATCTAGCTTCTGTGAGGAAAATGAGACAGTATCCAGGGGACACCGTACATGTGAATGCACTTCACATGGGATACATACTGTGCACTTTGCGGGTGTTGTCATTTTCTGTTGGATGTTGTTTTTCACACTGTGCCCTCCCTTCAACAGAACATACACATAAAAACATTGGCTGATGATATGGTAAGGTGCTTGGTTTAATTTTGGTGTGACTAGTTTTGTTTTACATCAACTCATGTTTTGTCATGGTTGCATGAGACTTGTTGAAATATGTGGATGGGTCAAATGTGCCAAAAGCAAATGAACTGAATTAATATAAAATAAAATAGAGAAACAAAAAAAACTAAAGGTTACTATACAGTGTGACCGTTGTGTTTGCATACATTAACAGAAAAAGTTTAAATTGGTCTCACTTGTTGTTGGTAGCGCTGTGTAAATAAAAGATGATTTTTAATGGTACTGTGCGGCATATTTTTCATAATAAACAAAACTTTGCCCATAGCATCTAGACTTTTGTAAGCAGCTCGTAGATCACTTGATATGCAATTATCTGTGGCACCTCTGATTAGATGTGCTGATGTGCCTACAGCTTTTTTAATACCCTTAGTTAAAAAATAGCTTGACTTTCACACTTAAAAGCGTTATATAGTATTGAATTAATTTTAGGATATACATTGTAATGTCAACTTGTAATTGCATCTATCAGGAATAATATGTTTTGTCTTGGCTTACAGAATGTTTGATCCATCCAGTAATATTTCATCAAACTGAGAGTAGTGACATCATGTATGTCATCATCATGTTTGTCTTTCCATTTCATTTCTATGTTCATTCATCCAGCATGTATTCTCCATTCCATTTTACTAAAAAGGACTAACATTGACTGGTTGCATGCCATCCATGTACTTTTCTGCTTTCACACTAAACTTTACAACACTGAGTGTCAATTGAAGAATATAACAAGGGAACTGATGTCTCACTGAAGTTATAACACCAATCTTAAGTTATTGTATGCCAAAATTTTTCTAATGACATAAGCACAAATCACGTAATCCATGGTTTATAATGGTAAGTAAAGGCCTGATTTTTGAAGTTTTATGCAGTATACATATTGTGTACTTCTGGGTCTATTCTTATTCCTATGTTGTTTAGAGCACATTATTTTGATTGTCACAAAAAATACCTTTCACTTTGTGTTTTTTTTTTTTAATTTTTTTTTTTTATATATATTACAGGACAATACAGGACAAATTATTTGAAAAAATCAAAAAGCCTCTTAAATCAGATAATTAAAGTACTGTGTCAGTTACTGCATAAACAACTGTAGTTTGGCTTGGGATGGCGATGTTCTGTTTGTCCACCAAGGCCCAGTGTAAAATGTTAGCAATCACTGGATAAAATGAATTGACACGGCAAGTGATGGCAAATTCATTCCTTCAGGTACCCCTTTTATTTTAAATACATTCCCACAAAATATTCCAAAATCTCAGCAGTCTGTTTACAGTGACTGTTCCTCTACCACCACCTTTTGGCCAAGTGATAATGAAGAGAGCCATGAAAGCACCTTCATGCGTAAAAGAGTCAAACCATTTTATTTAGGCAACGACCTGGCCTTATTTCTTGCAGCACCAGCATAAACCTAACATACTTTTTACCCTACTACTATTTTTGTTGTTGTAAGAATTTTGTTTTCTGGTGTGTAATGAGCATTATAGACTCATGGTCACACCTGTGTGACTACAGACTTGTTTATAAATCTTATATTTATGAAGTAACTAGACCTTGACAAGATTCTTGCACTGTCATCTAGTAGATGGTCCATGCTGTGTTCACACCCTGTTTGGTCAGTTGTACATGTTGGGTGTGGTTAGCCCTGCAACAGACCTGAGCCTTTCAACCCACAGAGGTCAGAACAGCATTACTTTCCATCCATATAAAATTGAGTTTGAAGTTACTCTTACATGACTTGGAGGGATTTTGGCTGATCTTTTAGAAACACTTTTTGAGCTGTCCTCGCCATCGAGGATCCTGTTCACTGGAAATTGTGGTGAGCGGGGTGCTCTGATAACAGGACACAGGCACTCTTTAATGTGTGAAATTTGAGTTACAGGCAGTTTAAACCAGTCTACCCCTTTTTGAAAGATCAGTTTTTTTCAGTGAAAATCAGCAGTACCTGAAAAAATTTTAATATCTCAAACACTGTTTTCTTTCAGCGTGATCGTATTACCAGTTTCAGGAAAACGGGAATGAAGAAGGAGAAGCCCCTTATACAGCACCCTACAGATCCCCTCTCTACTCAGGCTGAACTGCCCATTCCTCAGCCCCTTTTTGACGACCGCTCAATGAACCTCTCGGAAAAGGAGATCATTGACCTCTTTGAGAAGATGATGGTGAGTTTTGTATTTCTTTTGTGGTATTTACTCTGTGCAGGGTCATGTGTAGCACTCCACAACAGTTTTATTACAGCTGCCACAGAATAATAAATAATGAGCATTCTATTATAAAATTTTAAATTGAAAAATTAAATTGATTTTAAATTGATTCATAAATCACAGATTTATGAATCAAGGAGGGACACAAGTAGAGAAACAGAGCTGCTTTTGTGAATGTTGGTGAAGGAGTCTGACAAGGCAGAAAGTAAAGTTTGAAAAGTATTTTTATATCAATATATACCCATAGATCTCCATGTGTCCTTGTTTTACTGCTGATGAGATTTCTTTAGTGAGCAAAGCTTTGCCAGGCATGTAAAAAACAATGGTGAAATTACTGGTTTTCATAGCTCTCTTCCTTTATTCAATATCTTAAAATTGTTTGTAGTTTCACAATATAATCTGTCCTGATGAGTCTACTGAGATGTCATGGTTTACAGTTCAGTTTTACAGATTAAATGAAGTTAAATTTTACCAGAATTTGTTAAAGCATTAGAAACCAGGATATGATGTACATTTGCATTCTCCTAAATAACCCATGATGAAATAGTATTAGTTTGTAAACATCTTCAGCTGTAAACAAAGCCCTAATAGTTGTGACTGCAGTCAGATCAGAGACAGGGCTGAACTTTATCTGTAGATTTATAGAAATAATCTTGAAATTTGTGATTATTTCCCTTTTAACTATGACATAGATTAGAAAACCATCAGTGCTTATGCATTCAGATATTAAGCTTTTGTGATGCAGGGCTCCACCCATGTATTCCGTAGGCCACTGTCAGAACACCAAACTTTGAAATTCACTTCACACTCATCTTTTGGGTCAAAGCTCTGTCACACTTGTGATTTTCTCCATTGAAATGCATTTTTGGCCTTATGTACTGCAGGATTGAAATCTAACAAAAAGCTTTCAGTCCATCTCTTTGAAGTGGGGAACCGAATTACTCTGGCTTCATTGCATAGGTTGTGTGTACTATTGTGGATAATGTTTCTGAGTGTGTGTGGTATGCTGCCTGCTTTTCCTTTTTTCCCATACAATGGTCTTGACCAGAGAAATGTGACCAGTGCTCCTGGTTTTCATCAGGCTACTGCTCAGTGTTTTCTTGCCTGGGTGCTCATCCCTGTCACTCAGTTCACCTCTCAATTACTATGTTTGTGCTCACAGTGGCGTGACATTAAACCCAGGCTTCAATTTGCTCAGTGACAGATGACACAGACGGCATGTTTGCTGGTGTGACATTTGACATGCCTTGACATTTTGGGTTGGGAAGTATAATTACAGTAATGAAATCAAAAAGAACAGGGTTATTTACTTTTGAATCCACCAGTATTTAGACTGTAAACCAGACTGTAAACATTGCCTGTAAACTTTTCTGCTTTGATGTTCCAAAAACAGAAATGACAGTGGTAGTTTCTTTTGATGCTAATTGCTTCTCTTCAGCATCTAACTGTCTTTGTCATCTCTCTGTCTCTTTGTGTTATACACGTGTACATTTGAGTTGCTCTCTTTGTCTTTACACCAATTCCCTTATTGATTGTTTTTATGGTGCTACAGCCTTAGATGTGTAGCTGCCTTCAAATGAAGGGATGACCCATGCCATATTAGTGAGACCGCCTACTGTGCATTAATGACTAGGAGAAAGTGAACATATTTTTTCTCTGGAAAGCAGTTTACACATTGCGCTGTGTATGTCAAAGCCTAAATAGCACATAGCCCATTACTGAAAGGTCATCAAAGGGTTTTGGGCAAATATAGGAAGAAACACTCAGTCACTGGGGAAGAAAACCAAATTAACTCTTTTCTGCAGTTTTTGAAGCGAACCATTGAGAGTGGAAGTATTTTCATGAAGCTACAGGGAAAGTTAAAATGCACGAACTAAACATTTACTTTCAGCACTGCCTTTAGAAGGGTGTAGTGTATGTCTTTACTCTGTGTCCTGTCGTTGAATTAACCAAGATGTGCGCAGCTGGAATTCAGAGCCCCTCCTCAAAATGCACAGCACTAAATCCTCTGATGAAATGTCCAGTATTTGCATCTCACTAAGGAGGCAGCTCGCTGCAGTAGCAGGAACACAGTAGTACACACATTAACATGAGAACTAATTTCAGCAGCATTCAGTTAGCTGTAAAACCTTTACACTACACCTTGATGCATTGCATATCCCTTTTCATCTTCAATTCAACTGTAAAGGCTCATGATAAGAAAGCTGTGGTGGGATGTTTGGTGAGGTCAGATACATGAAATTGTCCTCTCCATTCAGAAAATCTCCACCTTGGTGTGAATTTGTGCCAGTAGTTGCTGCATCCTAATTCCCCTGTGTTGATGTGGCCTTTAGCAGTCATGACATTATCACCCAGATCCGTCAGCATGAAAACCTCCAAGAGCATGACATCCTCACTTAGGACTGATTTGATTCCAGTGCCCATTTGTTTACCATTTTTTTTAGAGAATGTCTTCTCATTGTCAAGAGTAGTGTGGTGCTGCTGTGGCTAGTTTGAGGTTTTATGTGACTCTCTATGTGCCATTGTCAGGATGAACAACCCTAGTAATAAGCACCTATGTGATCCCTCAGCAGTTAACACCCTGCGCCAGGACATTAAAACCAGCCCACAGGAGAGTTACTGTGTGTGCCCTTACACACTCATGGATCAGACTTGAGGGTATTGGACAAAATAATTGATTTGTCACAGTTAAAGCAAAACATTTTTACGTCTTCTACTTTTCTTAGATCTGCTTTTCCCCATAGCATTGACTCTTCATATCCATTTCAGCTTCAGACACATTTGATGGTAGCCATTAATTGCTCTTTTCTTTGATTTGAAGCCTGTGACACTCTGTATTGGGCTGTATTTGAAGCCACATCAAGCTACAGGACTTTGAAATTTTTGCCAATCTTATATTTTTTATATATATGGTAGTCCCTAAGTAGAAGGACAGTGATATATTTTTGTGGCTTTGACCTCATAGCAATTGTTCAGTGAGCTTCAGAGAGTTGAGAGACAAAGTTCTTCGTTCCATTTTTAATTTGGGGATGCTTATTTCAACATTAAATGAACCATGTACAAATTGTTGCACCTTTCATAGTGTCCCTGAAATTTTAATGAATACAATGTATAGGTGTAATCAGAAGCTTAAATGAAGGCCACATATTCAATATTAGAGCTAGACAAATTTATTGGTCGGCCGATATTGGCCCGTTACAGATATATCGTATCGGCGCATATATTCTCTGATATGTGCTGATATGAATGCTTTTAATAATAAGCAATAATGCAGTGGAAATACTCGGGTCAAGTTATACAGGCAGCATTTTATGTATATTTGATCTTTCATTTTCATTCAAGTTAAATATACATGTATAATGTGTGTGTGTGTGTGTGTGTGTGTGTGTGTATATATAATAATATATATATATATATATATATATATATTATATATATATTGTTTTTTATTGTATTTATTTATAGTTATTTTATTTAATTCCTAGTGAAATACCATTTCAGTGCACTGATGTCATTTTGGACAATAAAGTTTATTGTTAAACTGTAAAATATCCTGCTTTCATTACATATCTTTTTCACAATATGAGGGAGTAAATATATCTTTTTCACAATAATAGGGAGTAAAAAAGATTCTTTTTTTTTTTTACTCCCTAATATTGTTATTGGCCCCAAAATTCCAATATCGGTCGGGCTCTAGTCAATATTTGATAGAAAATACTTTGCAGAAACTGACTGCCTGAAATCTGTGATCCATAGACTTCCGCAGATGCTTAGTACCTTCCCTGATGATGCACCGCCAGGCCTGTAATGCAGCCTTCTTCACTTATTGCTTGTTTTTAGAGCTGGTTTTTAGTGACTGAAACACCTGCTTGGTTGGATTGAGGTGGCTGACTTGGCCATTCAAGAACGTTACACTGTTTGGCTTGTATACTGTGTTAAAAGTCTGCTCAACCACTAGGGATATGGACACCGTCAAACACCTTTTAAAGCTGGAAGTCAGCTCATTAACCTCAGCCATTGTTTCATTTTTAATCCATTGTACTGGAGTACAGAGCCAATAGTGTGAACACAATGTGTCATTGCTTTACTCCTGGAGGACTGCACCATGTATACATATGCAGTACAGCAGTCCACTGGGATAGACGGTGTTCCTCAAACTCCTGTCCATGATGCTTGATTTTCCAGTTGTTGCAGAATGAAATTATTTTTGGCATCAGCAAAAGAAGTGGAGACTGATTCGCATTGGAAAATTCATAACAGAGTTTGCCAGTCTGACATGGACAATATGATCAAGAACATATTTCTTGCAAATTCCACTGTCAGTGATACAAGCTCAGATCTCATCATTTCAGTTACACTGGCAGCATAGTTGGAAGATATTCTGGGACTCTTTTTTATGAAGCCTGTGAGGGTATAATTAATAAAAGAGCATTAATCATTTTGGAGACTAAACATGGAGGGCTCATTCCTCCAGTTTGCCCCCCGACAAGCGTCCCGCAGGCCCAATACTCCTACCCCTCCTACAACATACTCACCCTGCCACATTTTACTTCGTTTATTGAATGCCAATTAAGCAGATAAATTAGCAGGGTTCAAAGATTAATTAAAAAACCTGCCGGTTTCCTTGGGTGAAAAACCTGCCAGTTGTAAAAGTTTCAGCTGCATTTTTTCCTCCCTGTTCCACAAAAAGGATGTTAATGGTTTTTTAGCTCTGAGGGTATTTACTGGAGGAAATGTAGTTGGAGGAATTTAGGTCACGGTGCCCCTGGATGGGATTCCTGCCCATGCTTCACCGACAAATGAAACACAATCAGTTTGAATTAGATTACCCGTGGTAAGATATTCAAACCATTACGTAATACAATGTTCTTACTTAGATGTGACACGCTTAATTTATAATTTTACATTAAGTCGGACAGAGGGCAATCATTGCCAAATCAGATCACCCAAACCAGGGGACATATGATTTTCTTTACCTCCCAGCAGAGGGCAGCATGGCTCCACAACTTAAGGTTCACTGTCCTAAAACCCTGAAGAGGATGTTTTTTCTCTCTGTTCATTCTAGCCATCTCTTTGTGAGAGAGTGCTTCTGATAAACATCCCCCTCCATTCTAATCATCATGTCATTCCCTAGCTTTTAGTGCTCTGTCCGGCCTTCGCTGCATCCCCTGATGTCTCTCACATGAAAGACATCTTTTGTGATGCAGAATTAAAGTAGCACAAAGATAATACTCCCAATAACACGCAGATACTGCCTATCCAGCCTATCTGATGTGATTGCATGGCCTCAATAGAAACTGTGTTGTTTGATTTTGTTCTCTTGTTCGGAGTTGGGGTGCACAGTTTATATTGCTGTAGCCTTGCTACTTTCGTTTCAAGGACTAATTATTACTGTCATTATTTCCTCTTGCTGTACCTTGTGACTTGTGACAAAGAAACATAGATGCGAAACAAATTTATTCAACTGGACAGGATCTGATGTGAAAGGGTTATTGTATATGGAACTATACTTGTTTGCAGGTCTGAAGTATTTCTGCTTTCTGGTGGAACTGTTGCACTGTAAATAACACGGTTCAAAGTTTGAGGTTTTGAGAGTTGGGATTGTGATAACTTTTTATTATATAAACATATAACTTCTGTTTGGTTACAAGCATAGATGCAGTATGTGCTTAGTGTTGAAGATTTGTGATTCGGCTAATATTTCCCACCTTCTTCAATTGACTCTTTGATGTACCCTAATGTTAACTTTGTAATAAAGCAGAATTGTTATTACACATAAAATAATCTTAATTTACTTTTCAAGTTTATTTTTTGATTCATTTTATTTTTCAATTTATTGAAATCCTCTACTATTACCAATTACCCTATTTCTATCATTACTGCTCATTAAATTTCTCACTGTCTGTGTGTATCTAGGAGGACATGAACCTGAATGAGGAACGCAAAGCTCCTCTACGCGGAAAGGACTTGAGTACCAAGCGCGAGATGGTGGTCCAGTACATCTCAGCCACTGCCAAATCTGTAAGTGAGAGAATAAACCTTAATGCTGTATCACTATAAACTGAAGTGTACTGCATAATTGTAGTGGGTGGCTTGAAGTATCATGACACTCCACCTGACTCTCCAGAATGAGTTTAACTTGATCCTCTGCTTCATGGCTTGCTTTGTCATCCTTTCTTGCACACTCTCACTTCTGTCATTGTCTCACTCTCTGCTCTTAATGCTTGAGTCCCACATCTTTGATTGCAATTTTGATTTATTTTCTTTATCATTTTCCCTCTTGTGCCACAATCTATTGGATATAAATTGTAGTCACTGCCTCACTCAATGCTAGGTGGATGGTCAGTGCTTGTCCAGTCATGTGTTTGCATGAAAAATTTTGGTGATTTAGTTGTGTACTTGCATGTGAGTTTTTTTTACCGATAGGTGGCAATGCCTTGCTTTGTTATTTGGGTATAAATAAAGTTCAGTCAAATGCTTGATTCCGCAGCAGTATAATTATTAGGAGCACATCCATCAAATACAGAGGTGCACACATGAGCTTTAAAGCTATGTTTAGCATGAGCCTATGATAAGCCTATATTTATGCTACATTGTAGCTAGCTTCACCATCCAGTTTTATTCTTGCTCTGAGTGTTAATCAGAACAATTCTGTCTGATTCTTAACTATCAGTAGTTTTATATTTATCTTATCGGTAGTTGGGATTATGTTGCCTATTGTTGTAGAGTAATCTGGAATTTGATACTTCATGAGTCTAATCCAAAAACAGTGATTAAAAAGTAAGGAGTTTTGACGGTAATACATGAATGTATGAAGAATTCTTGTATCCTCTTTTGAAGTTATGGCCAACCTTGTGAGGTGAAATTAACATCAGCACAGAAGAAAAAAAGTGATTTCTGCCCCCATTGCTTCCAGAACCTGGTAGCGCTCTCTTGACATCATCATTTATTACCTTCCTCATTGTTATGGTAATTAACTGGCATTATTGATAATGATGATTATCCAAGATGATTGAATTCCTCACAGGGCCCATTATGCTTTGTGAGCACTGATATTTTATTCAAATGAATAACGTAATCTGTGTAGTGAAAGGACAGAGGACAAAATGTGATGTCTGTCAGCACCCTGCTATCACATTTAATATGACTGAAAGAGGGAGATGTTTGAATGTCAGTGATGATGTATCTGTGCAAACACAGATTCATGCAAGTGTGCATACAGTTACACTAGAACATCTGTACATCCACACACTGTCATATACTGATAATACATGAAGATAACTTAGCATGAGGTTCGGGGGACATTTGTGTGTGACTAATAATAATATGATACTGCAAATCTCCTTTTGCAGTGAGAGACACTATACGCACAACTATTGGTGTAACTATGTCTGTCTAAGATACTGCCTAAGAGCACATCAGGGGATTGCCACAAAAACAAACTACAACAACTGTTTTGCACATTAATTGTAATTTACTTAAAGTAAAAAAAACAACCAACCTACCCTAAATTGTATGAGACGATGCTCATGCCTTAATGAATCATTTTCAGTTGTAAATAAGTAAGTTAGCTCATCAGCAGATATTTTTATTAGTTTTTTTGGTAAAATTACTTTATAACACTATAAGTAATTGAATACATTTTTGTGTCAAACAGAATTTATAGTCGTCCTTTTAGGTACTGGTAGACAGAAAAAGAGAAAATCTTAGTAGCCGTGAAGCAAAAGTGTTCCAGCCTGGAGCTTGTTAGCTGTATCAACTGACTGACAGTGAGTCTGTGTTCCGTAGTATCTTAATGTGATTTGGGTTTCAATAACTTCTTAAAATCCTCATAAGCTCATGTATAGGTCAGAATCAGCATAAAATAGAGTTTGTCAGCAAAATACCTCAGAAATGACATTGGTTTAAAATTTAGATAGAAGAGTCTTAGTAAAGCAGGTTTCATGATTGCTTTAATGTTTTCAAGTAACTGCTTTGTGTGAACTGTGTGTTTCTCTTGCAGGGGTTAGGCTTTATCTGGGGCTAATGTTGCTTGTGGTTGCTGATGAGCATGCAGTGTGGACTAAAAGGGAATGTGTTGCATTGAAAATGTAAATGGTGATGAATGAAGGATTGATGCATTTTAGTCATGTTGGGGTGTCTCTGATTTGTTGTGGTACCTTCACTATTAATGCGACTCAATCTTTCCTTTTTTTTTTTTTTGACTAAAGATGTCTTCAGCGTTGTGAGATTACAGTTTTGGGGCTTTGGAAGGGCTTCACATGCATTCAGCTAAATTTCCTGTTTTTGTTTTTTTGTTTTGTGTTTTTGTAGATGATCCCAATAGAGCATCTGACAAAATTGTAATTTTTCATATAACTATTACAGAGGCAACATGTTTAAACATATATTTTATTGTAGCCACAAAAATACAAGTGGGACATTCATGGATGTCACAAGTTCCCCCACACACACATCAATACTCAAACTTCTAGACAAGCCTCTTTCTTTGTTGACCTTCAGCTATTGCAGAGTATGCAGGCTTAAAATGCTTTGGAACTGGAAGTTTAAATCGATAAATATTGTTGTAACAAGAAATATCCCCCAGTACTGTGTTCCCTTTTTCTTGTCTGCCTCTGGAAGTGTGCTCAATTGTACATGTGCTCTGGTGCCCAACAAAAAGTAAAAAAAAAAAATGTAAGCATTAATAGCTATAGGTGCTTGAGTTTTCCTTCACAATGTACAACTTTTTTGTACGTATAAAGACTACAGTACTGTACTTCTAAAAGGCTGTCAGGCTTCAAATGATAGCTAATATGAGAAATGGCTGATTATTACTTTGTTTAGTCTTGTAAAATATGTCTTTCGAGTGAAAGCTGAAGCTTTTTTCCCCTCCCTTGTGAATTGCCAGCTCTCTACTCGTCTATCACCAGGCAAGATTTAGAACACTCCCATACTCTACTGAGGTGCCTCAGCAGGAGTCTAGTAAATTACCCCCAACACAGAATGGAATGTCTTTTCAAGGGAGAATTCAACACTGACCCTGTTCATTTGAATATGAGCTGTGTTTCAATGGTATCCAGCTCTGCTTTTGCAGGAGTGTGTCTGTGGACGTCCTTGACCATCAGCTTTGCATGAATAGTTGCTTTTCTCTCTCACCTCATTTCTTCTTCTTTCTTCTTTCTATAAATGTGTGCCAGCCTCATTAAAACTGCCAAAATTCGCTTTACACTAATACAATTATTTATTTCTCAGAGATCTAGTTTGTCTATCGACAGTGAATATTTTCTGGTTTCATTTCAAATGTGCTGTGTCTCAGATACAGGAGGAAGGGTGACGGCAGGGTCTTTTAAGGGGGATTGTCTAGTATTGGTTTTATTCAAATAATGGTTTGTTTAATGTGACCATCAATGTGCCACCTTGTTCTCTTAATGGGCCCTGGCATTTGCTAACATCATCCAGTCCCTTTATTATTATCTGATCATACTGATGAGTGTTTATGCAATTGGTATATATTTTTTTCCATCATGAAAAACTGTGGTAATGGTTATATTTCTATTGAGAAGAAAATACATATTTTTACATACATACTTGTCCTTAGTTGATTGATAATGTAGTATGAAAGATGCTCAATAACAGATCTCACTAGGTAGTTATACCTTAACACTACTCAAGTAATTAGTTGGTGTCTGAACTGAGTGGAGTTTTGCAGCTGTTTTAGTGAGAACAAGGTGTTACATTGTATTGTAAATACAAACTTTTTAGTGAAACTGTGCTGTTCCTCTCAAGCTCCTCCTTGTCTGTCTGAGCACCCCCAAGATAGTGTCTGTTATTTTGGTCAAACTGCAAAATACAACATTCTAAAATATATATGCAGTATTAGGTGGTAGTAGTAGGCATCAACATCTGTGGAAAATATTTAAGTTCTGAGTTATGTCAGTGTGACTCATTTCAAGGTATCAGGTAGCCAGCAGTATTCAGATAAAATATTCCGCAGTCTAAGACAGTGACATTCTGCATTCACTGGAGAACAAGGAAAATGTGGATACACATTATGATTAAAAAAGTAGTAGTGTGTGTGTGATCAGGTGGTGGCATGCGTAAAACAGACTTTATGGCTATTATAAACTCTTGGTAGAGGGATGGAGAGGGGAAATCAAGCATCAAATGGCCACAGACATGCAGAGACTGAGAGTGACAATAAAAGAAATGGAAAGGGAGATTAGAAGAGATGAAAGGAGGGTAAAGAATAGGAGGGAGTGAAAGCAGGAGAGGTGGTGAAAGGAGGTGGAGAAAGAAAAGGAGCTCAGTGTGTCCTGTAACTTCCTGCAGTCAGAATACATTTTCTCCGAAACATGTAGCAAAGCATGAGAAGCTCAGCCACAGATTAGAATACATTTGCTCGGCTGACAGACACCTTCCTACTGTGAAACAAGCCCCACAGTTGCAGTAATAAAAAACACTCCTGCTACCTGCCACTATTGACAGATAACAAGGTTAAACTCCAAGAATCGTGCTGACTGCACGGGCTCAAGGTAGCTCTGCCACACAAATTTGACACCTGAAGCCCAGCACTAATGGCAGCTGATTGATTTCAGCCCAGGGAGACCCTCTGCAGCCTCTTTGTCCACACTAGCCATTGTTCCTTTTGGAGGATGAATCTGTGAATCTATACCAGTCAGTCAATCACAAGGGCAATCATATTTTACCCTGTTAATCATTTAATAAATCCCTTGTGTGGATATTGGCATGTCTAAACATGTTGATTCATCACTTCCACAGTTGTTGGTGCCATGTATTGATGATAGCTTTTGTTATGTACATGCTCTGCGAGTTCTTCTCTCATTTGTCCACATATTATATGTATTATTGAGAATTTGAAAATTGCAGCGGCCAAATACAGACATTATCTTCAGTATGTACCTATAATAATAAAATAATAAAAGGTTTAGTTGTATAGTGTTTGTGATGTCACACAAGTTACGCTAATGCCTCTACGTGTAATGGAGAGGATTCTCCGGCCTACTAATGATTGTGCTGTTTGTGTCTTTTTGCACATTAACCTTCTCCGCTGATCGCTGCATGCAGATAACTGGGAGCAAAGTTGCGGTAAGTAGTCCATTATTTATTTGGCTTCTGATTGTTGTTCCTTCTATGTATCTGTTTTCATTCACCTCGTACACACACACACACGCACACACACACACACACACACACACACACACACACACACACACACACACACACACACATATTCTTTTGGAACAATGTCGAGGAGCATGTTCCAAACTGCAAGTAAGGTCACTTTTATAGCTTGGATTTTTATTTTCAGCTCAGATATTGCTAATGGTTTGTAATTTGGAAAGGCTATAAATTGCCAACAGTGTAAATGGTAGCACTTTCAAATGAGGGATTTTGAAATTATACAGCCTGAAAATGAACTGGGAGGCCTTTTGTTGGTTTCTGCTGTTTCTCCTTTGAAATAGATTGCAGTGTAGCACCTATTAGCATTTGAATATTGTCATACCAACAAAGAGCGATAGCTTTTACACAAATACTCATAAATCTACAATCTGTTTATCAAAACATGGTGCATCTAAATGGTTTCAACTGTGCTCATTCTGCCAATGAGAGACAATGCATACTGAGAATATATATCACTTAATAAGGCTGTGAGCATACACATTTGTGTACACATGTGCATACAAACTGTACACACACTGAACCTAGTAAACTGCGGGAAAGATATCAAGTACATTTGTTCTGCCTAGAACTGATATATTGGCCTATATTTATTTAGTGGAAATATTCATGGCTAGATATTTTAATTTGCAGTCAACAACTCTGTTGCTTTTTCAAAGAATTTAAGCCCACAAGACTGTTTTCTCACAAATGCATTGTCTTGGTGGTTTCATTTCACCTTACCTGCTTGTTGATTACAAAAACCCAGATAATCATAGCAAATTTAATTTGTACTGTCAATGCAAGACTTTTTCATTTCTCCACACTGTAATATACCAGTTGCATTTTTTTTTATCTCAAGATCCCACAAAGTGGCACCCTGTTGCCTTTGTAAGAACAGTTTTGGGTTTTTTCAAGAAGAAACACTCTTTTATTGGTTTAGCAAGTGTTGAATTATCACTTTAAATTTCATTGCTGTTTGAGAGCTTTGTAAGGATTAAGAGGACTGTAAAGCTTAACAGGAACACAGACAAGGAAAAGCAGCACACTGTGACCTGGCCTCTGCTCTGCCCATGCTCTCAGACAAACCTCGTTCTTTGAAGCATTTTACAGAGACGTTTTGTATCGATTGCATTTTCTCCTTCTTTGTCAAACTGTTCTTTTGTGCTTGGTTATTTCTGTGGGAAGAGTGGGTTTTCGACTTGGCCTGTATGGACATGGATGGAGTAGCTCTCGATCAGCAGCAATGGCCACATTGTGTTCAGTAAATGGAATATGACAGAATTACCCCAGCTTGTATCATGACCGCTCATCCGAGATGTGGAGGCCTACTTTCAGAAGTTCTGCAAACCATGTCAAAAGGTGCCAGAGACCCTGGTTATCAAGAAGTTTCTTCAAACTCAAGAGTATACTGAAGCATTTGCCCTGACTTTTGTAACCTCTGTGTCAATCCTGCTTCAGTAGCCTTCAGATATGGCTAACATAGTGAAAACTATGAGCTGTCATTCTTAAAAGCTCCACTGAAAGAGGAAAAAACAGGCAAAGCGTTTAGCCTGCTTAGCCAATTGTGGGCTGCAGTTAGCTCCCTGCTTTGCTGGCAGATTCCCATTTTCACGCTGTCAGCATGCGTCGGTGGGACAGAGGGCTCTCAGGTGTGCTGGAAGGGGAGTGTTGGTTAGGATTGTCTATAGGGAACACACAACTGTAACTCCTCTGTCTCAGGCATGAAATCTCTCTGGCACTTTCCCCTCTCCCAGTTGAGAATGAGGTGGGAATAGAGGACGGCGTGAATTGGCTCTAATCCAGTCTGACCAGCGTGTAAGTGTGCAACACTGCTAAATCTCATATGCTCCCTCACCTCCTTAAGCAAGATTGAGGGAAATATGAACAGCACCCATACCTGAGTAACAGCATGCTGGCAGGTAGACCCGAACAGTCCAGGTCAACAAGGACCTTTTCTTTTGCACTGTGCTGCAGCTGCCTGTTGACCATTACAATGGCTTTACAGCATCAGTCTCTGTAAAGATTGGCCTGATTTACGTCAAAAGCCAAGGGCCACGTTGTAACAATCCATCAAGGACTCCTGCAGTGTTGCTGTGAAAGTAGACTTCCGTCTGTCTGCACTACCATTGACAGGCTCTGCAGCTCAGAGGAATGCTGCTGAGACTATGACAGTGAGAGTGTACATGAGTGAGAGAAAGGGTGTGTGCTGCATGTGTTGAAGAGCAGCAATCTCCAGACCACAGGGAGGTGATCAATATCTGTATGACTGGACAGATGACTGCTTATTTCCACGTTAACATGCTGGTCAGCTCTGAGATGTCAGACGGTGATGGTTAGTGCAGTTGTGTAAACACGTATATCTCTGTGTATGGTTGTCAAGTATGTGGATTTGACCAATGAGCCAAAAACACCTCAGGCCCTGAGAAAAAAGATTGGATGAAGCTGTATTGGCGGCACTGTAGCTGATCTAATTCATAGAAAATGTGTTTTAGTTTTCTACAGAATTATAAAGTGTTGCTCTTTTAATTTCAAAGTGACTAAGGAGATAACACTGACACTGTCTTTCCTGGGTGTATATATGGTAGTATGGATGATGATACCTCCCATTTTAAAACTGTTTATGACGATATAGAGTTCAGATTTGAGATGTGCCAGTAATTATTATAAAAATGGTCTATATGAAATAACATTGGGTATTGCTAATTTAGTAATTTACACTAAATAAACTTTTTGTGTGTATATGCATACACTGCTAAAGAGGACCTACAATGAGGCAATGACGTCTTTAATAATTACCAATGAACAATGTCAATGAAATTTATTTCAGTTGAACTTTTGTTTTTAAATTTTCTTACAATTTCAATGATATCACTTTCATTTACTCTCCAGGTTCTTTGTTATTTTTACAATTGTGAAATATTTTATTGTAATATTCCTTCTTCTGTAATCTATAGAAATCAGTTTATTTTTCTACCACTTCCACAGGTTCCATGTTGTAAAAATCTCTTACAGATTAAATTTTTCTTTTTGCAAACCCTTTTCAAACCTATAGTCATCCATTGCTTTCCTTTTTACATTTATCTTTCACTCAACACTTTTTAATCATCCCAGTTATTTGTAAAGTCTATCTTTAAGGCCTCAGTTCTTTCTGGCCTTTATCTTTGTAATTTACAGGAAGGCTCTGTCATTTTTAAAACTTAATGATTTATGTTAAGTCAAATTTAGAAAACTTTGATGTAACAAGAAAAAATGTGAGGAGTTGCGTCTATTTTTTACATTATTATTATTGTTAATTCTCAGAAAAATCTGTTTATTCAGTGGGAAAAACTTTATCTCTCATATAAAAGTTCTTTTATATGATAAGATTTTCAGAAATTTCCACTACAAGCTATGAATTCATCCATATGGCATATGGTCCCTTTGGTTAATTTAACCCCTCAGTTGACGGAACTCCTCCATTAGACCCATGAGATTAACTCACGTCAACGTTGTTGATCTCCTGAGACATAAAATTGAGGGATGTTTTTTATCTCTTCTAATTCTTCTACCAGCTTTTTGATTGTAATCAACATCTTTTTCCAATAAGGTCACAAAAAAGAAAAAAATATTCTGGGAAGGCTTAAAGCAAAACTGCTCTTTGCCAATCACCATGTGCTTCCGGGACCATAACAATGTCCTTGATTTAAAAAAACAAAAAAAAACAAAAAAAACAAAAAAAAAAACATCAAATTGATAGAAATTTTCAAAAAGATGAAAGTAAGATACTTCTGTACCCTCGGCAATAAATTAATTTTGAATAGACTGCACTATATTTTTGTGGTTTTTGGAGGATTATAGGGAGGCTTTGAGCAGGGGAAAGCAATGGTAGCCATCTTGATGTTCATACCAAAAATGATCATCCATGTCATATTTTTTCTATATTAATATTTATCACTCAGCTACTTCATTTAACCTTACATTTTTTTTTTTTTTGGGCATTTCTTCCTCTAATTCGATAGTTGCAGTGAGAGAGAGACACAGGAAAGTCAGGGAGAAAGAGGGGGGGATAACATGCAGTAAAGGGCCACGGGTTGGATTTGAACCCAGACCGCTGCGGTTAGGACTAAGCCTTCGTGGTATGCCTACCAGGTGAGCCACTGGAGTGCCCCTATTTAACCTTACTTTTTCACCAATACTCCCAATAAAATAGATGGCCTTCACATCTGATTCTGTTATGTGATTGGTTGATTTGGTGTTTTGCTATGGCCAATTAGCTGTCCCGTAGGTCTGTTTGTAACTGCAGAGGATTAAAAGAAACAAATTGTTATAGATAAGGCAGAGGATTGTAAAGCATCAGATGAGAAACGAGAGAGACAGAAAGAGAAAGTTACATGGATATGAGGACATGCAGACATCTGGCTCCTCTTTAACTCCAATCAAGTGTTCGTTCACTGTGCCAGGAGTGCTTACGAAAGACCTTCAAAAAAAGAAAAGAAATATGGTGAGCCTGAAAGGAAATCAAGGCACCCTCCCTCCTTCATTCCCCTCTTTACCTTTTTAAAACCACATGCCTCAAAAGACTTTTTGTTTCAAGCAAGCTATTAAACTGGGCGCTGAGGGTTGAACAGATTTGATGTGACACATGTCCTTGGTGCTTTAAAAGAACGGCAATGAAAAATTAATCAATAGCGTGTGCCTCCCATGCCCTGAGCCAGTGTTCACCATAGATTCTATCTTAAATTAAGATCAAGGAAACATGCTCTGGAGGGGACCGTTTGAATAAGATGTTTCTTTGATTGGCTGAAAGCTTCTTTTAGAGTTCATCTGATGAACATAAAAAGTTGTCTGGGAGTGAGATGAGGGAAGGATTTATTTGACAAACTACTGGTGAATAGCATATCTGCAAATCTGGAGTCATCTGTCGTTTTTAATGGATATCGAATATT